CTGAGCAGCTGAATGAATCTAAATTCTGATGTAGGGGTGTTGCGGAGACTCATCTTCTGCTAATGCCTTTAAATATAAAGTCAGGTAAGCTTTCACCAACTCCCCCCTGCTGGATTTACAATCTTTTGACTGGCCTACTGCCCAGCCATAACAGACCGTGACATGAGCCTGAGCAGCCAATCTCAGCCAGCCATCTCTTTGTCATTTCCTGTAAAGATGGCCCATGATTGCAGATATCCCAAAAATCACACATTCCTAAATGTAGAACAGAAAGCAGAGACAGAAAGCACAGAAGTAGAGGAAGAGCAACAAGGATCCTGTAAGCATTTCTGTAATCCATAGTCCTAATCTGTGTCATAAACCAGTAAGGTGCAGCAACTGAAAAAAAAAAAAAAAAAAAAAAAAACAGTTGTATCTCTGACTTTCTTTGCAATATCCATTTTATTTGCAACTTAATTTCTTCCTTTTCATCATCTCGACAAACAGTGTAACTTAAAACCTGCACCAATGACAAATCTTTGCATGCATTTAGATACCCAACAGCTTGCTGGTGTTTAAATAGCATAATTTGTTTTCATTTGGTAATAAATCAATTTAGGGGATGGCTTTTAATATATATGATTATGGTCACATAACTTCCATTGCTGTAAAGTAAAAAAAGAAAGGACAGGTAAGAATAATACAGGGGTTTGGGGATTTTATCTTTTTAGATTATAGTTTTATGACAATTCTGTATGCATGGATGATTTCTGCTAGACCTTATAAGAGTTGCCAAAATTCTGAGTTACAATCCTGTTGCTTGCCTAAAATGTAAACCTTTTCAAAAGCCCAGATCCTTCTGTTATTTTTCAGGTTTTACGAATATGGTTTTTGTCATCGCCATCTTGCATGGTACAGTTTGGCTTCAAAATTTTTTTTCAGTGAGTTAACATTTTTATTTAGCACTTTTACATGGGAGAATTTGTAGTACCGTACATGCTTTATTTTTGTGAGCTGATCCTACTGAACCATGGCCTAACCATGACAATAGACAGGTTTCCATAATTTAATTATTTTTAAACGCTTTAGAAGAGCTTGTACTAGCTGACATGGTTAAGTGAGTAAAACCTGCCAGATTACAACACATTTATTAAAAACCTCAGTCCATTACTGATCTGTGGTCAGCGCTAGCATTCTAAATATACTTCATGTTTACTACAGCAAAGCGTAATATCGACGTGTGGTAACATTACAATTTGCATCACCTACTGGATGGAAACACCAGAAATACATTTTTTTCTGACTTTTTAAAGGTTTGCTAGAAAAATTTGCATCACATTTGGATAACCGTATAGCCATTTCTGACTCACTTTCCTAAGTATAATCTGTTCCTCTGGTTGTACAGAATGCGCTGTTGGTTCATGCATGGGCGGTGTGGTTGCTGGACGCAATTGTATTTTACTTGTGCGTCATCAGTTGACCAAACGTAACAACAAAGATCCAAAGATTTTTCAATGATTTGAGTTGTGTTGAATTGAAGTGACCATTTGTTTTGAATAAACACAACATTACAGTTTGCTACCAAAGCCGAGATTGTGAGATTTGAGGGGAATGGCGGCCTAGTGGGTAGGGCATTGAGTTTGGGATCCTGAGGTTCTGAGTTCATGCCCCCCTCCCACTCTGCCACTGTGGGTCTCTGAGCAAGACCCTTAACCCCACACTGTGCCACACAATGGCAGTCCACTGCTCCTCAAGGGTTTGGGTTAAATGCAGAGGTAAATTTCTCCAATGTGAGATCAATAATGTTCAATAATTATTATGAAATCATTGTCAGCTATTGAAAAAAAAGTAGATCCAACATGTTTTCTGTTTCCCCCCACCCCCTAGTAAATAGGAAGATACAACTACCAAGTTTTTCTGATTGTAGAGGCACGCCAGAGTAGCAGGAGTCTTAAGTAGGTCCTGCGGTGACAATTCAAGTTTTTTTTTTTTTACCTTTTTTAGGATCTTGCAGTCTGCTCTTGGGGTGAACTTGCTTAAAAGCATTTGTTTAAATTGTAAGTTTAATTATTTTGCCAGACTCAAACTGCTACTATCTTCTTCTCTATGTCTTTGGAGAGCTCTTTCAATCCCACTAAGGCTCTCAATGACCAACAGTCAGCAATAAACCAAACTAAATGTCTTAAAAATGTACTAATTGAATGCAGCTGATAGTAAAGAATTGTAATTTTAGTCACAATAAAAGTGAAAGTCATCAAATATATTCCTCAGCAGAATTATAATTTCGAGACATGATATTTTACAGAAATGTTGTTATGTTTTTTTTTTCCTTCTGTTTGTTAACATGAATTGATTTTTTTTATGTCTACTAAAGTCATCCAATTAATTGCACGTTTTCTTGTTTCAATATGTCTGAAAAACCTACAGGGATTAATAGGCTGTCTTACTCTTCTTTCCTTCCCATTTCACAGCCATAAACATTACATTTCTTATACTACAGGTGCTGGTCATAAAATTAGAATATCATGAAAAAGTAGATTGATTTCAGTAATTCCATTTAAAAAGTGAAACTTGTATATTATATTAATACATTACATACAAACTCATATATTTCAGATGTTTATTTTGTTTAATTTTGATGATTACAAATGACAACAAATGAAAATCTCAAATTCATCATATCAGAAAATTAGAATATTGTGAAAAGGTTCAAAATTGATGGCCCCTGGTGCCACACTCTAATCAGCTAATTAACTCAAACCACCTGCAAAAGCCTTTAAATGGTCTTTCAGTCTAGTTCTATAGGCTACACAATCATGGGGAAGACTGCTGACTTGACAGTTGTCCAAAAGACGACCATCGACACCTTGCACAAGGAGGGCAAGACACAAAAGGTCATCGCTAAAGAGGCTGGCTGTTCACAGAGCTCAGTGTCCAAGCACATTAATAGAGAGGCGAAGGGAAGGAAAAGATGTGGTCGAAAAAAGTGTACAAGCAAGAGAGATAACCGCACCCTGGAGAGGATTGTGAAACAAAACCCATTCAAAAATGTGGGGGAGATTCACAAAGAGTGGACTGCAGCTGGAGTGAGTGCTTCAAGAACCACCACACACAGACGTATGAAAGACATGGGTTTCTGCTGTCGCATTCCTTGTGTCAAGCCACTCTTGAAACACAGACAGCGTCAGAAGCGTCTTGCCTGGGCTAAAGAGAAACAGGACTGGACTGCTGGTGAGTGGTCCAAAGTCATGTTCTCTGATGAAAGTAAATTTTGCATTTCCTTTGGAAATCAAGGTCCCAGAGTCTGGAGGAAAAGAAGAGAGGCACTTCATCCACGTTGCTTGAAGTCCAGTGTAAAGTTTCCACAGTCAGTGATGGTTTGGGGTGCCATGTCATCTGCTGGTGTTGGTCCATTGTGTTTTCTGAGGTCCAGGGTCAACGCAGCCACATACCAGGAAGTTTTAGAGCACTTCATGCTTCCTGCAGCTGACCAACTTTTTGGAGATGCAGATTTCATTTTCCAACAGGACTTGGCACCTGCACACAGTGCCAAAGCTACCAGTACCTGGTTGAAGGACCATGGTATCCCTGTTCTTAATTGGCCAGCAAACTCTCCTGACCTTAACCCCATAGAAAATCTATGGGGTATTGTGAAGAAGAAGATGCAATACACCAGACCCAACAATTCAGAAGAGCTAAAAGCCACTATTAGAGCAACCTGGGCTATCATAACACCTGAGCAGTGCCACAGACTGATCGACTCCATGCCACGCCGCATTGCTGCAGTAATACAGGCCAAGGGAGGCCCAACTAAATACTAAGTGCTGTACATGCTCATACTTTTCATGTTCATACTTTTCAGTTGGCCAACATTTCTATAAATCGTTTGTTTTTATTGGTCTTCAGTAATATTCTAATTTTCTGATATGATGAATTTGAGATTTTCATTTGTTGTCATTTGTAATCATCAAAATTAAACAAAATAAACATCTGAAATATATGAGTTTGTATGTAATGTATGAATATAATATACAAGTTTCACTTTTTAAATGGAATTACTGAAATCAATCTACTTTTTCATGATATTCTAATTTTATGACCAGCACCTGTATATTCTAATATCGTATTATTTTTTTTGTAGCGAGGCAACAAAGAGAAAGATAGTTATAATCTTAATCCTACAAATACTTTCACCTTAACAGTGTGTTATATACAGAAAACGCTTCAAATAAGTTTTATCTCAGATAGTTTGGTTCAGTTTTGTCAAACAACTCTCAGAAAACATATTAATATGATAAAGAGAACTAAAATAACTGAGGGGATCTTATTGCAGTAACAAGCAAATATTAGACAGAAGTAAAAAAAATACATCAGTCAACTGAGCGCTTTTAGATAAAATCCAACTAAAACTACAATGCCACAAAATGTTAAAAGTGTTGGATTCTTAGCACTCTGTAAAGTTCAGCTTTTAAAACAGAATCAAACAAAAACATATTAGCTTGGTAAAATTCTTACTAGTTTACTGCGTAACATACAGACTAAATGTGAAGCTCCAAACTCTTCAATCATCTGTGACACAAAATGTTTTCTCTCTTTTCATGCCTTGCATGTGCTTGTGTGGTACTTGCTGCTATTGCCAGATTCTATGACGACATGCTGCAGGAATTGCAATGAACTGTAAAGATATGTATGTAACTATGGTAAGCCAGAGAGGCTGCAAAAAAACGTACACAAAGACATACTTTGGAAATACTTGTTATAAAATTCTCCCCGCTGCTGCAGTCTGAGATGCATCACTCCAACCTCTCAGAGTGTAGGGTAGGTAGGGAGGCCAAAACACAAACACACTACCACAACTATGCTCCTTTTGCCTCTACGCCAGCAGAGACACACAAACCCTCACACACAGAAACGTGCTCCCCTCCCCAGTTTTGTACTTTCTCCACCCTCCTGGCAGCCTGTACTGTGAGGGAGGGAAGAGAGGAAGGGAGAGGGAGGGTAGGGAAGGAGGGAGGCCAGACCACCCTGCTCTCATGGCAGGGCTGAGTGTTTACATTGCCGTGGCTCACTCTGTAATACATCTGGCATTCTGAGGCCACTCTCTCTAGCCAAGGAAGGAGGGAGGTGAGGGGGCTTGAGCAGAAGAGAGAAACCTTTCTAGCATCGAGGAGAGAAGAGGAATAGAGGAGTGAAAGAAGGAGGTAAAAGTTGCAGGGTGGGGGGGGAGTGGGAGTAACTTTCTCCACAGTCTCCTGTGGTCGGTCATTCACAGGACTCTGGTTTTTGAATAAGAGCATCAGAAAGAATGCAAAATGTAAACAGAGCGATTGGAGGCATCTCAGGAAGGTGTTTGTGAATGGGAGTGGGCTCCTCTTTGCAGCATGTTCACACACACACACACGAACGCACACATTCACCTGCATAGACAAGGATAATTTACCAAGTCTAAATGCTTTCAGCCAGGTGGGGATTTCACAAACAAGGCCGCTTTCAAAAGTCTGCGTACAGAAACCAGAGGTGCAACGTTTCTCCACGCCAAGTCCCTCACAAGCTTGACTAAGCTTTTTATCAACTCATAAAACTTGAACACAAACCATGCAGGAATGTCATTCCTTGATACCAATGGTTTTATCCAGTTTGCAGCTAACGGATAAATACGGTTAATTGCGTGCAGTTTGTACAAGTGTCTGAACGCGTGGCTAAAGAACTAGAACTACCGTGCAAGAGCTAAACAGATTAAATCCGAATCATAGGCGCCTCCAGTGACTCTCAGCTAACTAGGAGAAATACTGGGTGTGGGCGCAGTTCTCTGTTTTCATTGCTTGCGGTTCTTGAATAAAAGCTGCAGAAAAGAAAGAAAGTACTAAAATGGAGCAGCAAAAGAAAGCGAAGAGCAAAATGCCTGATGGAAGGAAGATAAAAGAATTGGATGTCTAATTAGCCGGCTCTGGTCAACCACCTCATCATTCACAGAACCAGAACCTCAAAGCCTCTCTGCATGCAACAACAGCGTTAGCATGTCTGTGTGTGCGTGTTTGTGCACATGCATCCATGCATGCATGACTGCTTTAATGCACTTCAAAAGCTGAATAATTCAATCATGCTAAACCACAATCATCTCTACTAAAGACGCCACATTCTGGGGATGGGGGGGGGGCATTTCCCCTCCTCTTCATCTTCCTCCACAAGGACTTTCTGCAAGCACTTAAAAAGTAAGACTGCAGGCTTTCTCAATGCCATTCACAGCAAAACCACCACCAGCTTAGTCGATGCAAGGCAAGTTTGAAAAGCATATTTCTGTGGCATAAATGAAATACAGTTAAAGAGATAAAAAATTAATGATTAGAATAAGGTTAAGTAAAAAAGATAAGATGATTGACACAAAAGAATGGTTGGAGCGAAAACTTATAATGTTTAGATAGGCCACTCAAAGGCAAATCTAAACAAAGACACTTTTAATCTCGATTTAAAACAATTTAAGGTTTCCGCACATTTACTGTGTTCTGGGAGTATATTTAAGATTCTTCGAGGATAAGAACTAAAAGCTGCTCCTCCATGTTTGGTTCTGGTTCCGAGTATGTAGACTAGACTTGAGCCTAAAGACCTGAGTGCTCTGGGCGGTTGATACACTGACAACAAATCTTTAATGTATTTTGGTGCTAAACCATTAATTGATTTATAGACTAAGAAAAGTATCTTAAAGTTTGTTCTCTACTTTCTTAGTTTTGGTGAGGATGCAGCTAGCTGTATTCTGGATCAATTGAAGCTGTTTGATCACTTTTAAGGAGGACCTGTTAAGACATTGTTGCAATAATCAATTCAACTAAAGATACATTTAGGAATTCGTTTTTCAATACTTTAGTCCTTCAATCCGGAAGGTTTTCTTTGGATGATAAAAGGCAGTGGGTGGAAAAGAGATTACCACTGTTGCTTTCATGAATATGCATGCCAGCTGCAACACTGGCAAACCCACCTTAAATGTATCACTGCTACCGACTGGGGTGGAGTGAGACAATCTGAATATTGCATTTGGTTAAATTAGGATAATACTGCAAAAGGAAAGGAATTTCCAAACCCATTGTGTAGCATTTTGTTCTTATCTTTTAATTATTATGATTATTTAGATTATTCAAAGTCCATATCTCATATAAATTGATTGTTTTTGTATCTCACTTTTATGTTACACACCATTTCCAGTGACTTTAGTTCAGGTTACCTTTTGGCCTAGTTAGCACTAAGGAAATATTACAGATTATCATGGCTGCTCAACCCAAAAAGGTACCATCCTTAACTTTCTGATGGTACAATAACTACCCTATGGTAGATCAGATTCATCAGATAAGAGTAGATATGAAAAACACCATTTAAAATGAATGGCTATGTCATATAAGTAAGGCTGGTTATATTGTCTGTACAAAACTTGCAGAGGCAGACAGATCCTTTTCATGCAACATGACCAAAACAGCAGGAACACAAAATGACAAGATGTATCCATGTTTCAGCCAATCATGGGCAGTGACTCAGAGTTTTTAGGCATTTAAATATGGTAAAGATGATCTGTTGAAGTCTGAGCAGAGCATTCTCACATATAATCAGTGGGATTTAAATAACTTTGAACATGGGGTGGTTGTTGCTGCTGCAAACAGGTAATTTCATAAATTGTTATCCTACAGAAATTGTACAATTCTCAATCTCAAGATCTTAATATCTGGAAGAATGTCAGTAAAATGGACAGGCTTGAGAGAAAGGCAACAATAGCTATAATAGTAACTCCTTATGACCCAGGTGTAAACAACAACACATTGGGAAGTCTGATTTTCAGCTTAAACAACCATAAGGCATGGATTCATCCTGCTTTGGTCAGTGGTTCAGGCTGTAGTGATGCAATGGCTTGCTGTATATGTTGGTTCCTTTCACACTAATTCAGCACCCTTTAAACACAACAGTTAACCTGAGTTCTATTTCATCCCTACTGACCGCCAGAGGCGGTGCTTCAAGCACTGAATGATCATTCATGCGCATGCGCAGGTCGAGTATTAATGACAACAAAGTCAGCTGTGACCTACCGGGGACCCACGTGACTCTATATAGTCACGTGGCACCCGGCAATCAATCCCCTTTTGTTCTTCTCGCGCGCAGGTGTGTTGAGTACAGGAGTGTGGTCGTGTGAAGCTGGTTGCTTCTGTGTATACCACTAGTTTCCTGGCTGCTTGTTGCTGGTAGCCCCGTCGCCCTCCAGGGGCTGCACAAGCTGCTTTCACCTTACCAGATCTGCGGTGACTGGTAAGTTTTCGTTCTTTTCTCAGCAGTAGTTTACTGTTCGCTTTGATTTGCCACGTTAATTTTGTGGCTCTTTTGACTCACGGTAGCGTTTCTGCTCGCGCTGAGTTGTTTTCAGTTTGTTTGCCTAAGCCCACCAGTAGCGTTTCTGCTCGCATTGGGTTCTTCCATAGTTTGTTTATCTACACTCACCAGTGGCGTTTCTGCTCGCGCTGAGTTGTTTTCAGTTTGTTTGCCTAAGCCCACCAGTAGCGTTTCTGCTCGCGTTGGGTTCTTCTATAGTTTGTTTGCCTAAACTCACCAGTGGCGTCTCTGCTCGTGCTGAGTTCATCTTTAGGTAATAATCGAGTCGCCAGTAGCGTTTCCTGCTCGTGTTGACTTGTCCTTGGTAGCAGGCTGATCACGCCTTTCAGCAGTATGATGCTGGATAATTTATGTTGCTCGACCTGTCTGGCTCCACTTCAGCCGGATGACGGGCATGACTTGTGTCCCTCCTGCCTCGGTGTGGAACATCTCCGGGAGGCGCTGTCAGATGACGCTTGCCCCAACTGTCGCGTCATGCCCCGGTCGGTCAGACTGGATCGGTTGGCTGCACTGGAGCAGCCTACCGACTGGGCGGGCGCTTCGCCGCGTGCTCGTTTGCCGATGGAGAAAGCGGTGTGCAAACGATCTACTGTGGCTGCACCTTCGGTACCGACAAAGCGTGCTAGACGGACCGATGCAGGGAGGTTGTCCACCAGAGTGGATCATCTCACTACTGAGCTGGCCCAAATGAAAGCCCTCCTCCAGTCCTTTCAGACTGCTGGTGATCGCGGCACGGCTCTCCCTACCGAGCAGGATGAAACGTCAGTCAATGACGACGATGCCGTTTCTGTGGCGGCCTCTGGCACCCATTTCTGTGAGGACCTTCCGGAGCTGGGCTCCGGGGCCTCTGGGTCGGACTCCATTGCCTCCCAGGAGGATGCGGGGGAGTCTGTGACATCCGCTATTCGAACGGCTCTTGCCCGTTTACAGATTAGTGTTCCTCAGGCCCAGCCTGCGGCTTCCAGCGCCTTCTTTAGGCGCAGTAGGTCAGAGACTGCCTTTGTGGTTCCTCCCTCGGCGGAGTATGTGCGGGAACTGCATGCTTGCTGGTCAGACACCAAGGCGTTTTCACGTCTGACGACGGATGGCAGGGTCCTGGCAGCTATGCAGGAGGCACCCAAGGTTGGCTTGGGGCAGATGCCAGCGGTGGAACCGGGCATTGCCTCTCTTATAATCCCGCCTGATGAGGCCTTGCGGCCCAATGCCCGTTGTCCGCGTCCTCAGTGCCGTATTACCGACGACCTTCTCTGTAAGGCCTATGACTCTGGGGCCCGCATGGGCCGGATTGGGAACTCTCTCTCCCATCTTATGCTGGCCCTGTCTTCCTCCTTGGAATCTGTTCCGCTGGATCATGCCACGCAAGGCCTGGTTGATGCATCTCTGCAGGCCTTTGCTCTTATGACGAGGGAACTTGGACGCACACTCCCCACACTGGTTCATGCTCGCCGCCAGGTCTGGTTGGCGCAGTCACCACTAACTGAGCCTTGTAGGAGGACCCTCCGGGCCCTGCCTGTGGTCCCGGGGGAGCTTTTTGGTTCAGCGGCACTGGACGCCTTGGACCGTACGGCTCAGGCCTCTAGAACGAGGCAACAGCTGGCAGGGCTTCACAGACGTGATCGCCAGCCAGTAAGCACCTGGGCAGCTGCGGGTCCTTCACTGAGGTCTTTAGTGCCTTCTCCTTCTCCAACTGAGCCCCAGGGTCTGTTACCAGGTCAGAGATCGGTCCAGAGACCTGCTCTAGATCGGAGGAACAGAGCTCGAGACCAGGCTGGGACGAGGTCCTTTCATCCCTTTCGAGCCGCGCAGTCTGGCCGGCGTCCTCCCGGGCCTTCGAAGGGCCGGGGGACCCGCAGATGATGCCTTAGGGCCGGCGGTCGGTTATTTTTCCCCGGGACAGCTCAGCTTCTGGGCTGCCCACACCCCGGACTTGTGGGTGTTGTCCACCCTGTCCCGGGGGTACCGTCTTCAATTCCGCCGCCGGCCACCTATCCCTGGCCGGGTCAGGATGACTGTGATCCACGACCCGGTGAAGGCACAGGCACTGAACCAAGAAATCTGCACCTTGCTGGCCAAGGGTGCTATAGTGCCTGTGGACCCCCTGCTGGATCCAGCGGGCTTTTATTCCACGTATTTTCTGGTTCCGAAGAAGACCGGGGGCTTGCGTCCAGTCTTGGACCTCAGAAGCCTGAATGTGTACTTGAAGGCCATGCCCTTTCATATGCTGACCACCAAGGAAGTGTTGCAGGCGATTTCCCCGGGCGATTGGTTCACTTCCATAGATCTCAGGGATGCTTATTTTCACGTTCCGATCGCTCCGCCCCATTGGCGGTTTCTTCGTTTTGCTTTTCAAGGGAGGCATTTCCAGTTCAGGGTCCTCCCGTTCGGACTTTCGCTGTCCCCCAGGGTGTTCACCCGATGTGTTGCAGCGGCCCTCTCTCCTCTGCAGGCACAGGGATTGAGGATCCTCCCATATCTGGACGACTGGCTCATTTGTGCTGCGACGTGGGACCAGGCGGTTCGAGATACTCGGTTAGTGCTCCATCATGTGGGATGCTTGGGCTTGCAGGTGAACATGGAGAAAAGCAGTCTGACCCCCTCACAGGAGACTGTCTTCCTGGGCATTGCCATGGATTCCATCTCAATGACTGCTTGCCCGTCACCCCAGCGGGTGGACAGTATATTGAGCGTGCTCCCGGAATTCAGGCGCGGCATGGCGCTGCCTCTTGTGCGGTATCTTCGACTCTTGGGCATGCTTACAGCTGCGTCCGCCGTAGTGCCCTTGGGGCTGCTGTCATTGCGGCCCCTCCAGATGTGGTTGAACAGCTTGAATCTGGATCCCACACGGAACACTCATCGTCTCAGAAGACTTCGGGTGGGGCCTCAGTGTCTTCAGTCTCTGTCCCAATGGAGGGTGAGGTTGTTTATGACCACAGGGGTCCCGCTCGGTTCCCTCCCGTGTCGTCGGGAAGTTGTGTTTACAGATGCATCCTCCACGGGCTGGGGTGCAACCTGGCGGGGTCAAATGGCACAGGGGACATGGTCCCAGCGGCAGGGCAGGGAACACATCAATGTCCTGGAGTTACAGGCTGTACTTCTGGCTCTTCAGAGCTTTCTTCCAGGCTCGCGGGGGAAGCACGTGCTGGTGAGGTCAGACAACACCACAGTGGTCTTTCACATCAACCACCAGGGGGGCACGAGGTCAAGGAAACTGTTGTGCTTGACTCGACGGCTTCTGACCTGGGCAGCTCCACGCATAGCCAGCCTCAGAGCAGCCTACATCCCAGGGCCGGAGAACGTGCCAGCAGATTTTCTATCCCGTCAGAAGCCGCTTCCAGGGGAGTGGAAGCTTCACCAAGAGGTGGTGGAGTGCATCTGGAAGGTCTTTGGCAGGGCGGACGTGGACCTCTTTGCCTCAAGGGACGCATTTCACTGTCCCCTTTGGTTCTCGTTGGACAACAGCAGCCCTCTGGGCCACGATGCTCTGGCACATGACTGGCCCCGGACCCTCCTTTATGCCTTTCCGCCATTCAGCCTACTTTTTCAGACTCTCCTCAGGGTACGTCAGGAGGGGCACAGGGTCCTGCTGGTGGCCCCCTACTGGCCAGCGAGGACTTGGTTTCCTCTACTGTGCGAGCTCAGCTCCGGCTCGCCAATGCGTCTCCCCTCCAGGAGAGACCTTCTTTCTCAGATGGGGGGTCAGATCTTGCACCCCGAACCGGACCGGCTCCAGCTCTGGATTTGGCCCCTGCAAGGCCGGGGTCCACCTTCTCAAGATACACTGGGTCCATAGGGCATACAATGGCTAATGCATGGGCGCCGTCCACGCGAGCTGTCTATGCTAACAAGTGGACGGTCTTTGCGACCTGGTGCCGTGATAGAGGGCAGGACCCGGTGCAGTGCTCAGTTTCTGACATACTGACCTTCCTGCAGGCATTGCTGGATCAAGGACGGTCCCCATCTACCTTAAAGGTGTATGTGGCTGCCATTTCCTGTTGGCATGTTGGGCTGAATGGTTGTTCTGTGGGCCGAGACAAGGATGTTGTACTGTTTTTAAGAGGTGCTCGGCGTTTGCACCCACCCAACCGCCCTGTGGCACCAGCGTGGGACCTTTCTCTTGTGCTCGAGGCTCTTCGGTCCCTCCCATTTGAGCCCCTGGCGTCGGCGGACCTCAAATGGCTCTCACTGAAGACTGCGTTCCTTTTAGCTATGGTTTCCGCAAAACGTGTAGGGGAGTTACAGGCTCTCTCGATAGCCGAACCCTGCTGCCGGTGGAATCCTGATGGCTCAGGCATTACACTGTGGGCTGACGTAGCATTTATTCCTAAGGTATCACTGCCAGCAGGCAGCACCCAGCCTCTCCATCTTGCCCGGTTTGACTCCGGAAGTCCCTCTGAACCACTGTGTCCTGTCCGTGCCCTTGAGACATACATCAATGCCACGGCATCCTTCCGAAAGACAAATAGCCTTTTTGTTTGCTACGCTGGCTCACGGAAGGGTCAGGCACTTTCTAAGCAGCGACTTACACACTGGGTTGTGGATTTGATCTCCAAGGCTTATGCCTTGCAGGACCGGCCACTGCCGGCGGGAGTGAAATGCCACTCTACAAGGGGCATGTCGACATCGTTTGCTGCTATGACTGGGGTGCCATTGGATGTTATATGCCGTGCGGCCTCCTGGAAGTCACCTAGTACCTTTACTCGGTTCTACAGGGTGAATGTGGCTGCGCCCCATCCGCTTCAGGGAATCCTCGAGCAGCATGCCTCTACATCACATTAGGTGGGTGGTGTAGTCGTTGTTCCTTGAATGTTGCTGATTCCTCGTGACCTTGTTGATATGAGTCATCCAGTGCTTGAAGCACTGCCTCTGGCGGTCAGTAGGGATGAAATAGAACGAAAGTTACTACCGTAACTACGGTTCTATGAATCCCGGATGACCGCCAGAGTGCTTGGTCCCTCGGAATCTCTGCTTTCGCGAGAAGATTGAGGGATTGATTGCCGGGTGCCACGTGACTATATAGAGTCACGTGGGTCCCCGGCAGGTCACAGCTGACTTTGTTGTCATTAATACTCGACCTGCGCATGCGCATGAATGATCATTCAGTGCTTGAAGCACCGCCTCTGGCGGTCATCCGGGATTCATAGAACCGTAGTTACGGTAGTAACTTTCGTACCTATGCTGACCATGTTAATCCCTTTATGGCCTTTGTGATGGCTACTACCAGCAGCATAAAGCGCCATGTCACAAAAGTAAAATCACTTTGGGCTAGCCTCTTGGAAATGATGATAAAATTACCAGGCTTTCTTTGCTAATTGTCCTAACGGACACCAGATTTTAAACCAACGAAGCTCTGGAGATTAAACAGAATACAAACAAGGTGTTCACATTGAAGTGGTCGATGAACGTTTATACTCTGATGATAAAAACTCTGGGAAAATAAATGTTTTATTAAAGAAAGACATCAGCACCGAAACATCAAAATCTGGAAAACATATTCTATTTTCAGTTTAAAAGCTTCTAAACATACGTTGACAAACTATTCCTCAGATTTACTGCCCTCTGCTGGACACCTCCTTATAAAAAAATAAAATGAGATTTCCAATTCCCTTCTAGCAGTCCTGTTCAAGAGATGGACTCCAACATCAGGCACATACGTCTGCACAAAGGCAAATCTACAGCAGCATTTTCTCTGCAGTCCCTTCCCTGCACCCATGGACAACCCATGCCACTCCACCCCCACCTTCCCTGCTGCGAGTCTTCACTCTGCACCCAGGCCACAGGGTGAGTATCAGGTGAGGTTTTAAATAGCGGGGCCTCAACCAGATGACCTTAGGGTCTCTGGAGTCCATGCCCGTGGCCCCTGGCCTCTGCACTTATGCACCCAAAGAAAGTGCTGCAGGACCCCAGGGCCTCTCATCAGCCTGCAGCCATGAGACTACAATCTGAGACTCTGTGCCCACAGTCTGCGCCATAAATCAGGAGAGCGTGAAGTCACTTCAGCTTGAATGGGGACTTTTCTGTGAATAAAAAGCTATGGCCTTTACGAGCTCCGAGAACAACTCTAGCTCATCTGCTTTATCAACTTCAATCTATTGGCAGAACATACCCACTTTATTTCACCTTTTTACAGCTTCTCTTTGTTGATCAGCAGAGCAAAACAATCTCCAGCCCCTGTTTCAATATGAAAGCTGCAAAACCCTTTAGTAGAATGGGAAGGCAAATGTTTATATGATGTTGTTTTAATTAGAGGCAGGCGGTGGTCTTATTTTCTCTACAATTTGGCCTGTGCTTGCCTTAACCCGTGATACCAGGGGATACCTCGATCTGCTATTTACAGCCAGGAAGAACAATAAAGGGTTTATGCTTCTCAAAACCAAGTCTGTTTCCAGGCTACTAATCATTGAACTGATTTGATATCGAGGGTGCATCTTGAGTTGATCACTCGCCATAAGGCATTTTCTCCAAAGCTAACTCAAAGCCATGTTTGTGTGGGAGGGGGGAGAGATCAAGATAGGGCATCACAATACTACAACTTCCTGCTGGAGCTAATCATTTCCTGTGAGTGGCACAGTAAATATAAACAAAGATGTTTTACACACCACACAAATTGACCTAAATCAACCTTTTCACTAAAAAACAAAGATTTACTTAAAATATTAATACCAATAACTCATGGGCTAGTTGGCAACATTGCGACAGCTTATAAAGTTAAAGTTCCAAAACCTCAGAAATTTTTAGGTGCCTAATTCCTACAATAAGTCTTTTTAATGGGATATAAGAGAACGTTCTAGAATGACTAAGGTTTTGTCCGGTTTTATGGAGTGTAGACTTAAGAAAATGACTACATTTATTTCATGCTAAATGCCATTTTACTATATAAAACAGTTGTCAGGCTAGGGGTTTCTGATCAGCAGTTGACTGTGTAGCCTGGGTACTAAAGCAGATGACTAATTAACCGCCTTTTTATACTGGTGTTGCTCTCTAAAAAGTAGGAACACCATCTCGATCCCAATAGCTCTCTGTCACTTTGGCTAAAAAACAGAACTTCCTGTGTCTGAGCACTTATAAACATTGCAGAGTGAGAGAAGACAATCCCTGCTAATGCTTCTGCACGTGACAACATGAGGAATAAACACACGAGACAAGTGCGGTATGCAGTTAATGTTGAACGGCTGGAGGCCGCTGGCCACAGCCCTGTGCTAGGACAGACCCCATAGAAGATCATACAGAGCTCCAGTAAGAGCTGGCTGCATTGTACTGTATGTGCGTCTACGGGCCACACAGCTTCCCCCGGCGGGGTCGTCCACAGGTCGCCTGCGGAGGGCAGTTCCACATGAAACATAAACAGCTGCTCTGTTCTCTCCTCCTCTCGCCTCTTTTTCTTCGCGGATGATGGGCCAGTTCCCCAAGCACGGCCCAGCACTGGGCTCCGCGGTTCAGGCAGAACTAATCTATCCCTCAGGTGTGCAGGCTAATCGAAACAAACAGATCTCTCCCTACCAGCATCTGGAACCCCTCATGCACCTAGACCTAGGAAACCACCACAGCACTGTCTATAACAGTATATGGTTGCGAGGAGGTTCCTTTTTCTATTTAGTATGTGTTCAAATTTGACTAATGTTTCCTTAAAGATCACTTTACTACGAGCCCCTGGTTCACTTAACATGAACTTGATTTGGTAGCAACAAAGTAAAGATAGTAGAAGAACTAATAAAAAAAAAAACATAGAAAATAAAGAAACTACAACTGCAGACCTATACTTGACCCAGGAGGGAGATAACTGAGCATGCATACCCAGGAAATCATCACATCACTTTGAAAAAAATTAATTTGATGCTAAAAACCTCCCAAACAGAATGTGTGCTTGTTTTTGCATTTTGTACATTTTCTTTGTCTACTGCTGTGTTGAATAAATACCAATGATGCTTGTTTGTACAAGTCTGACCGTGTGTGGGGATTGATTTACAGACAAACGCTTTTTAAAATGAAATTCCCTTTTAGTCTCCATATGGCCCCTTCCTACCAGATTCATCTATAAACATCAACAAAAACAGCTCTTTTTTGTACTCATCTTGTATAGGGCTGATCGATTAATCGATTATGGAAACAATCTTCAAGTAATTTAGTAATTAATTAATCATTAAATGGAGTATAGTCTCTAAAACATGCCTTTAACTGACTTAGAGAAGTAATCTTATCAAAATTGTGAAAAAAATATATAAACATTTTGCATTTGAAAAAACATTTTCATCTGTTCATATGCGTTATCCTGAACCAAGTGGAACAGTTTGATTTCAACCTGTTTTAATTTCATAAAAATATCTTCTTTAAGGAGCCTTTGGCTATCCAATTATTAATGGATTAATCAAAAAAAAAAGACAGATCAATCGATTTGCAAAATAATCAGTTTTAGTTGCAGTTTCGTTGCAGCCCTAATCTTGTATGATGTAGTTAATCACCGAGTCAGTTTGTTTCTCTTTTCTTCCCTTTTAATTCAGCAAACTGTAATAACTATAAAATGCAAAATACTCACTTGGAGATTATTGTATTTGTAGATTATTATTTTGAAAATTGTGCACTATACCCTTTGTTTTTCATTTATTGTCGTTCTGTTTAAGACATGTCATATGAACGCACAGAAAATGCTGGACATTCACTGAGGGGGTAAATATTATGAACTTTTAAAAACTCACCTTATGACCAAATTGGCTAATTAAATAAGTGTCCTTTCTGCTGCCCTCTTATTTAGGTAATGCCACTGCAAGTCACTACATTTTGCACAGACTTGGCAGAGTTTTTACACCCTTTCTTGCAATACCAGGACTCAAACTAAATTCAAAGACTTAATGGACTCAACCTTAGAGAACTGGGTCCTTCACTACTATTAGATTTAGTTGTGCAAACAGAAAACAACCATAGTCACACAGATTTGGAAATGCAAAATACTCTTTATGAGGCTGTGTTAAAAATAATGTTCATGCTTCAAACAGCCGATGACCCAACCATGTTAACAGATTCTGGGGTTTACAAACAACCTTAGAGTTTATAGCCATCATGGCAGGATAACCAATATTCCTGCTGGTAGAAAATATCCACTTGACTCTTTCATTTATTTAACTAAAATACAGTGAAATAAAAATGTTAAAAAAAAAGTTCAATTCTTGGTTGTGAAAGCAGGTTAACATTGTTTTTACTGAGGTAACAGGTGATTTATGCAAGAATCGACATAAAACAACTAGAGCTGCAACTAACCATTATTTTGCAAATTTATTAATGTGTCAATTAGTTCTTTTTATTAATAACTGGACAGCCAAAGGTTCCTTAAAGAAGACTTTTTTTTTTTTTTTTTACAAAATTACACCGAATTAAACTAAAACTTTACCACTTGAGAAGTTCTGGATAGAATATATTGAGAGAGGAAATCATTTTGTTTCTCTTAAATGAAACATGTTTATATATTTTGGTATAATTACTGCTCTGAGTGGGTTGATCAGTCAGCTAAAGGTATATTTTAGAGTCTATATACTCCATTTAACAATAATCGATTACTAAATAAGTTGACGATTATTTCAATAAGTCAATCACGAAGTGTTTCAGCACCAAAAACAACCAAAACTGCTACTCAATGGTGAAGACTCAAACTTTTGAACACCACATTCAAGGTTAAAACAACAAAATTTTATATACCCAACAACATATTCACTTACATTATATCCATAAAGTCTAAAACGATGACCCTCACAGACCTCATTTTAGATATACAGATTGGTTACTAACTATCAAAATCTTGGAGAGTAAATCTTCACAACCGAAAAGGTTCACCGTGGATTCAATATTCCCAATTACACCAAAAAAGGCATAATAGAGTCACACCAAAATGTACAGTACACCAAGGAGTTGCCTAAGCAGGTCTATTTTTATTTCGATATATTTTTCAGCAAGGCTTTTATCACCCACTTCAAAAACCAATGAATTAAACTAATTTTATTTAATCAGCTCATAATCTATACTAAGGATTGATAATTATATGACTACAAATAGTATCTCCTGGTAGGATTTTTTTTCATAGATACTTTGGTTTTATCAGGGGTCATAAGAGTAAAATACCAAGATCTGCCTTAGAATGAAAATAAATGCAGATAAAGGGCTATGCAAAGAAAGAAATATGATAACATATAACTATGTATAATTTAAGAATTACAAAGACTATTAAGCTTCCTAATTCATAATTAATGTATATACCCCATATATACACATATATATATACCGTATATATATACGGTATATATATACCGTATATATATACCGTATATATATACCGTATATATATACCGTATATACATATATATATATATATATATATATATATATATATATATATATATATAGTTATTGCATAGGGTATTAAATAGAAACAGGTTATTGCACAGGGTATTAAATAGGGATTGCAAAATAGTTACTGCAAAAGTTATTGCAGTTTTAGTGCCGCATTGTACAGTCTGATGGAAGAAGTCTATAACTGAACACACAGGCGTAACATTTCTGACCTGGTCAGGAACTGGCAAGGTAAAAAAAAAAGTTTGTTTTTTTGCCTAAAGAAAGAGTTGGGTTTTCATCAGAGGTGAAGACATTCTCTATCAATCTGATATAACTTACTGTGTTTTCTCGGGGGGGTTTAGGCATGTGAAAATTGTGTGAAAACAGTGTGATCCATTGAGTACAATCAGGAATGTGTGCCTGAAGAGGCCACCCTCCACACAAACCGTGATCCAGCCGCGCCT